ATACTGTCTTGGTGACTCCTTAGTTTTTGGTGGATTTCCAGTAGAGATGGGGGTATTCATATACAACTGTGAATATCCCCGCACAGGTGGTGTTATTGAGGGTCCAGCCCCATGGAGCTGTATGGTCCAGTCACCAATCTGCCGCCAATGTGGATGGCGTAATTCTACCAATGGCTCTGCAGCGCGCGATCTGCTTGCCACTCTTCAACCTTGCCTTCCCACCACCTGCCAGGAGTGGAGAGCGGATTGTGCACTGCGGAGCCATTGGTAGAATTTTGCCATCCACGTCTGTGGCAGATTGGTGAGTGGACTGTCTGGCCCCATGGGGCTGGACCTTTGTTTACACCATCTGTGTGATATTCATATTTGTATACAATCTCTAATTTCCAGGCATAGAGAAAAGTTTTGAATTTTTGTTTATTTTAGTAGCATAGGTTGTCATGATAGGATCAGTAATTTATTGTGCTGGGTGTGGACAAAACTACTTGGTAAGGACTTCCAAAGTCATCATGGGATCCATGTTGTGCTGTGTACATTGAAAACACCTCACCTTTCCTCTCTTGAAGTCCCTGCTTACTTGCTTACTTCATATAGGTTTGTACTTGCAGTGTTGCTCAGCTATCATTTTACTAACAAGCTTGGATTTTTTTTAGGTTTAATTATCTGTCTCATTAATAATTGTGGCATTGTTTTAAAAACAATTGGACTCAATGAAATTATGTCAGATGCTTTTAGATTCTGCCACAAATAATGAGATACACATTTCATGATGTGCCTTTTTAGTCTGCATTGTGTTTAGCAATTGGTTACAAAATTTGACACTTTGCTGTGAACATTTACAAAATATCTAGCAGCCCATATGAAGGTATGCTGGGCTTGTTTCATAGATTGAGTTCTACTGAAGGTATTGTGACCAGTGATAAATCAGTAGCCAGTTTCTTGCCCAATAAAAAAATTGTTCCTCAATTAGTTGGTATTTTTAGGGATTTGGATACATGGATGGTAGGTTTGAGACTTTGACTAACACACTGAAAAAGCTTTGACTTTATGGTTAATATAAAATAAGTGTTTTGGTTTTTTTAAAAGCCTAAATGATGTTTCCAAACTGCATCACTAATCTTTGTTAAGAAGAAGATGAAAATAAAAACCCGATGGTGTGGCGGGGAATGATTATGTTTTCTGAGGGTTCAAAAATCTTACTTGAAGCAGCTGTGTTGTGCTTTGTCCAAAATACTGAATTATATTTGGGTCCAGGGTATGATATGTTTAATAGGGGAAACATCTTGATTCTTTAGTGGCTGCTCTTCCTGTCTCTGGTTCTTTCCCCTGCCTGCATCTCATCCCAGTCTTCTTAAACTAGTACTGTAGTGCTCAAGGTGTTTAGAAGATACATCACTTTCAATTTCCAAATGTTTACAGGCAGGGTATGGAAAGTAAATGAGCAGTTGTGATGGTGTTTATCTTGGAGGAGGCTTCAACGAGAACCTTTAGTTTGGCAAGATGTGGGAAGCACAGTTCTTCAACATGCCATACCAGATATTCTTGATCTAATATTGAAGGGCTGAGGAGCTCAGAAAGATCAGACCAAGAGTATGTACGTGTGCTGTTTCAAACTTTGATCAGTTAGTTGCTTGTGGGAAGCCCATGAGTGGGGGGTGAAGGTAACAGTGTGTAAAAAAAGTTTAGAGGCCAAATAATAATGAACTTCTCATCTTACTGTTACTTCCATAAAAAATTAGTAGTTTTAAAAACTCCATTGCACCAGGTTTAAAAAAAAAAGAATTGAGTGTTTCTGGCTTAGCAAGAGTTCTGATGTATTGGGGGCTGTTAGTAATGTTAACATTGTGGCCAACCACTGGAGTTTTAGGGAGTTGTTGTTAAGGTTCTCCTTGACATTTAGTCCAGTCATGTCCAACTCTAGGGCGCAGTGCTCATCCCCGTCTCCAAGCCATAGAGCCAGCGTTTGTCCATAGACAGTATCTGTTGTCACATGGCCAGTGCAACTAGAGACGGAATGCCGTTACCTTCCCACCAAGGTGGTACCTATTTATATACTCGCATTTACATGCTTTTGAACTGCTAGGTTGGCAGGAGCTGGGACAAGCAATGGGAGCTCACTCCATTGTGTGGATTTGATCTTACGACTGCTGGTCTTCCGACCCTGCAGCACAGATGCTTCTGTGGTTTAACCTGCAGCGCCACCAAGTCCCTTTTAATGGACACCAATTTTATTTCCTGAACCCATAAATAATTATAATACCCCTATGGGATCAATATACTAATAAGCAGGGTATACAAGTTCTTCATTTTGACATGGGTTAGTGGAAAATAAATTACATTCATTAGAATATTTTTATTCCAACTTTTGTTTTGGTGGGTAAAAAGGTGGACGAAAAAAAGTTTATGAGATAATTGGCCACAACTTTCATTTTATGTCCCATCTTTTTTCAACAAAGGGAATTGTATCTTACTACATACAGTGGTGCCTCGCTTAGCGATGTTAATTGGTTCCCCAAAAAACATCGCTATGGGAAACCATCGCTAAGCGAAACACCATTTCCCATAGGAATGCATTGAAAACCGGATAATCCATTCCCCTCATTGGAGTGCATTGAACTGTGGGTTTGACCGCTGTCAAACCTACAGTTCAATGCATTCCAATGGGGGGGGGGAATTCACCAAAAATTAACGAAGACTCAGAACAAAGCCAAATTAAGTTTGCAAAGGTTTTACAGGGTGCACTAACGATTCCAAGCATTTCAAACAGTTCTTGAACATTTTAAGACACACTTAAAATAGCGAAAACGGACATCGCTAAGCGAAACAGGAGGGCCTAAACTGTCATTGCTAAGCAAAGCAAGGTCCCGAATATCGCTATGCGAAATTTCCCCATAGGAAACATCGCTAAACAGAGCGCAAGATCACTCCAAAAACCTCATCGCTAAGTGAATACAACATTAAACGAGGCGATCGCTAAGCGAGGCACCACTGTAGTTGAAACAATGCAATCAAAAATATGATAAATTGCAATATTAAAAAGCAATGAAACATATGTTAAAACCACCACTATTTTTTTAAAATTAAGAATCAATTTAAAAGTACAAGTTAAAAAAGTTCAGCATCCTTGATTGATTGATTGATTGATTGATTGATTGATTGATTGATTGATTGATTTTATATCCCGCCTATCTGGTCGCGTCAGGACCACTCTAGGCGGCTAGAGTTAAATTTCTTCCTTGGCAACCAGTCATTTGTTAAAAAACATCCTTACACAGAAAGTTGTTTGCCCGTAGGTGGAATGACATCTCGGAGGGGTGTCTTTCCACCTGGCCTCCCTTGAGGCATTAATTACAACTGTTCAGGTAACAAAGCTGTAGAACACCTGCATTGAGGGTCTAGTTCTGTGCAGATTCTGCAACAAAATCTGGTGGTGGTGGTCTTAAAATGTCCTGCTATGGTGCATGAGAGATGAAATTATTCTAGCAGTGATATGAATGTAGCATTTGATCTGCTAAGGTTTTGTCAGCGAGGCATCAAGCCTTTAAGTTACACACTTACAGAATAAGAATAGTTCGAATCACAAGTACAGTGGTGCCCCGCACAGCGAGGTTAATCCGTTCC